ATAATATTCTAAATGTAGATGTGACAAAGTTTTAACTGTCCCAGATGAATCAGGGAATTAGTTCCTTAGAATGCAAATGGAGTAACAGAATTTTGTGAGATTTATGTTTGGTGTTTTATATACTACACCTATACAGAACAAAATTAAAATTGTAAGACCAAATCGTGTGCATTTATACAACTCACTAACATTAACATGCCTACATTAATTCATTTTACAGCTTGTTTAAAATTGTTCATTTGCTCTTTAAATGAGATAAGGTCTCACACCCAGGCTAGGCTGGAACTCACTAGTTAGGTAAGAATGACTCTGAACTTTTGATGCCCCTGCATCTAAACCCTGAGTGCTCGAATCACAGATGTTTGCCACTATGTCTGTTTGTACAGTCCTGGACTCAGGTTGATGGCTTTTATATGTCAGAGCAACACTCCTGCAACTCAGCTACCACCCCAGGAAGCTTGGTAGTTCTTACATCAACCAAAATAATGTTTGTGTCTCCTAAGATTTGGTGTTCATTGTATAGTTCACTCAACTGGATCAAATTCATAAATTGCTAATCAAGTTTCATGTTCTTTTATTAAAATATTATTGAGCACCTAAAGATTGCACACTATCAAACAGCTTATAGACAAAGACATACTTATTTTAGTTATCTAGCCTTACTTTAGTAATAAATGTACCTTCTGTGTGCAGTGCATGCTTTGGAAACGCAAGCACATCATCACTTTCTATTGACACTAAGCCACAAATAAACAAATCGACTGTGATCTCTGGCCTCTCTGGCCTTTATTACTAGCTGACTATGGCAGTCCCAAGTTCTGTAACAGACTCAGTAGCAGCAAGGCCCCACCCCCTTAGGGCTTCACATGTAATCAGTGCTGCCTAGGCTTCAGTGTCTATGGATTCCTCTTGGTGGTGCACCAACCATGGTGGCCCTGAATGGGAAGTGGATGTCAAGATGAAACTGAGATACCCTCTCACTCCTGCTAGGATGGCTGAGGTCAGAGACAAAGGATGAGATGTGCTGATGATGGTGTGGAAGAAGGAGAGCACACGCATACCATTGGTAGGTGTGCACTGCTGCCATTGTGCAAAACAGGGTGTAAGCTCCTCAGAATGTTCAAAATGGAACAAAATGACCCATCCGTTGAGCATGTCGGTATATCACAGGAAGTAAAATGCACCTAGAACCCCTTGTTTGCTGCATATAATATCAAAAGTTGTTTGACATAATATCAAAAGGAATACTATTGAAAAGTCACACATGAATGAATGGATGAAATCATACATGCAAATTTGCGCCACGGGAAACCATTCATCCATAAAAGTGTGAATGCCTATCATTGGATCACAACGTTACAGTGGGACATTCAAATTATTAACAGCGTTCTGCATTCTAGAAAATGCTAAGAGAGTAACACTTCTCACTACACAATGACAACGATGGGAACATTCATCATATATAGGAATTTGATAATTGGATAGATTTCACAATTCTCTAATGAATAACTCTTTCAGTGTGCTGTATAACAAATACCTATTCTTTTTAGCAGGGTAATAAAAACATAAAATTTAGTTACTTGAATTGAATAGCTAGTTTCCCTGAATCCTGAATGGTGGTGAATGCATTGTTCTGAGCCGTGCCATATGGTTTATAAATTGAGTCACATTTTAGATAAAGCAGAGTGCTTTGTTACATAAGAAATTACTGCAATGTCCCCTTGAAATGTGACTGAGAGCTTCCTGCTCAATATTGGTGCTTTAAAAATACCTAAATTTTGTCATGTTTCTAGAACATATATATCAATATTAACCTGAGGCTGCTCCTTTAATTCCTCTTGTTTTTTAGATTTAAGTTCCATTTTACCTTGCCGTAAATGGAAATAATTGAGAAAATAAGTACATAGCCATTAAAATGAAGTATTTGTGTACTGCTACCCATAAACCACATCGATGGTGACAGATATAGCACGCTCTGGGAACCCGTGCTCTATGTGGCTGCACATTCAGATTTTCATAAATTTGATTTTGTAAACGTAATTTACATAGATGATAGCACAGTAATGGCAGAAGCCACATGTGTCTTGTATATCCATTTTATTCTCCAGCACTTAGTTGTTGCCATACAACAGGTATTAAGTAAATAATTAATATTGAATTAAATTAATAAACGGGTCATATGCTTGCATATCCATTCTCTAAAGAGCTATAGAACGATGATTTAACATGAAAACAATGCTCATCTCTATGTGACAATATACCACAGTAGCCTATGTTTGTATCCTCAGTCTTCAGGGTAGGAGGAAGTGTAATCAACAGCATTTCTATTCAATGTCAAAGACTCAAAGAGTGAGCCTGTCGAAGAAGGCAGTGTGCTGTGGGTGTGTGTTGTAACAGAGGGAGTGGGAAGGTGGTGTGTAGGAGGGGGCAGTGCCTGTGGGCAGACGCAGGGTATGTGAGCACTATGGTGAGAAGGGAGGAGGCTGCACATGGGAGTGGGCGTGGCAACTGAAAAATGGGTGACAAGAGAAAAGATGTGGAAATACATCTCATCTCATCTCACAGGGTGAGCAGACCTTGCAGTCCAGTACCTCAGGAAGAAAGGATGGACTGGAAGACTGCATAGGCAGGAGAGTCGCAGAATTGCTTTACCCAAAGCACTGGACAATGACCATTTCTAAGAGTTCAGCTTCCCCAGAATTAAAGACTCTAAACGCTCACCCTCCTCTGGCTGCCTTCTTCAAATGAGCACGGCTCCTGAAGCTTACTCCTCAGCTTGCTTTCTTCTTCTGTGCCCATAAAAAATGGCACAATTTTCCACTTCATCTCTGTTTGAAGAAAAGATCAGTTAATGCTGGAGTAAGTGCAAGCAGCCAGACTCCTTTGTAATCAGAAGTTCCTCAGCTGGTGGAGCCTGGAATGACAAAGAGGCTTTTTCTAGAACCCGCAGGCCTAGAAGGCTGCATGGCAGGAAGGCAATAGTTAGCTGATTTGTCCATCAACCTTTCTTTTGCTGGTAGGAATTATTGGCAGCAGTAACTGATTCTTGGATAAAGGCATCACAGTGATAAACACTCTATATTATAAAACAATGCTAAAATATTAACATAGTATGAAGTTTCTACTGTTGGTCCAAGACCTCATTCACCTGAGAGGATGTTTTATATTTAGTTTCACTGAAGGAACTCTTAGCAGTGAGTTAGAGCTTAGTTCTGACTGTTAAACGTTATCTATGCATGCCTTTGCAACTTTATCCCTTTCAAAGCTAAGTAGCAGAGCTTGGCATGGTGCTGTCCTGCTGAGTCCCAGCACTCAAAAGACAGAGACAGGAAGATCATGAGTTTGAAGTCAGCCTGTGCTATGCCACATAGTCCCAGCTAGTCTTGGCTATGAGGCATGATTGAACCCAATAAATAAACAAAATTTAAATGAGAAAAATAAAAGAGGAATACTTAAACAGAGAGCAAAAGAGAAGCAGAGGCTGCATCCTTGGTAGCATAGCACTTACCTAGGATGCTAAAGGCCCTGGTTTTCAGCCACACTGCCACAACCCAAAGTAACAAGACTTGCATATGAATCTGTGAGTTTGTCATTTCTCAGACTGAAATAGGCATACATTCTGTTAACCAGAGTAGTCAGAGAGGAAGGACTCGGAAAATCAGCCAGGCTTCCTTCAACAGGAGAGCACCTTTATGCCTGATCACATGGTGAAACCACCTTGTGCCAAAAGCCTGAAGCACACAGGGAAACTGCCAGCCTGGGAAGATGGCATCTTCCTCTGTAGCTTGAGGCTACCAAGATTTAGGTACTAGGTACATGTGAGGTAGAGCTATTATATCAGATCATCTAGCTAGATCCCAGTCAAGCCAACAGAGCCAGACAATCAGGAAGTCATGAGGAAGTGGACGTATTTTGTACAGCAATCCCAAGGACCACTTTCCCCTTACAAGCAGAGGAGGAGACCCGAGAGTCATAGGATTGTTCCATCTTTCTTAGCCTGAATAGAAAAGGGCTTGCAGCAGAGGGGAATGATAATATACCTGTGAAAGAAATCTGAAATCACACAAGCTACATTTGTGTCAATTTCTCCCTTATGTCTCCTTGTATGAAGGAACACACATGTGAATGTAAGCTAGATCCCCATACCCATGACTTACATTTGATTCAGTATTGTATGGCATAATTTCTTTCTTTCTTCCCTTCTTTCCTTCTTTTCTTCTTCTTCTTTTTTTTTTTGCAGTTTGAAGTAATACATGGGCACAACCCACACACATTCTTGAAAACATGATTCATGGTGCTGTTGTTGTATCTACTGAAGATGAGTAGTGTATTTAGTCAGGGTAGCTTATACCTACAGTAATAACAATGATTTTTTTTTTTAAAAAAAGTAAAATCTCAATGGCCTAAAGCAATGAAAAACAGTTTCTTGCTCATATTATCTGTTCATCCCGGGCAGAATAGCATACCCCCGCCCTACTCCTGCATGGATTCAGGTTGGTCTCTGGAGCCTCTGGAAATCGCTAGTTCTTGTGATGACGATGTAGAAGGGTCATCACAGTGTCAGAAAAGCTCTGCCCAGAAGTGCTGCATGTCACCCGGAAGTGCTTCTTATTACCCCAAGATGACTGAAGAAAGTCATACGCATACTCTTAATCAGAAAGAACTAAAACCGTGCCATCCTAGAATGAGTCAAGCTTACCTGGGAACATTTGGTGAAACTCACAGACTACCATAGACAGGTTTTACCTCACAGCTGAATCAAATGTAATAGAGAAGAAGCCTTCTAGATGTTTCTCTGGTTGCTATCAAATACCACTACATTCTTTACACAAAGCTTTTGACTACTAAGTGACCAGGTTAAATTTATACTGTCTCAGTTTCATGGTTTGTTGGCATTAAGAGTTATAGTAGCCTTACAGCAGAATGTTCTAGAATAGGACATTCTTTAAAAGGATAAAGCAACTGTATAAAATTCTCCTTTTGTTTTCTTTGTCCAACAGACATTGATGAGTGCTCTGAGGGCTTTGTTCAATGTGACAGCCGTGCCAACTGCATTAACCTGCCTGGGTGGTACCACTGTGAGTGCAGAGATGGCTACCATGACAATGGGATGTTTTCGCCAGGTGGAGAATCTTGTGAAGGTCAGTAAACAAGGTGTAAGGGCCCAGGAGAACTGGCAGCCAGAGGTGATGTGCTGCCGTGTGTCCGGTGCCAGGCTCTGCTCCTATGGCAGAGGAAGAGAGAATGTTGAACATCAGAGACCAAAGATGTGGGCCCTGTTCTAAGAACTGTGTGATCTTATAGGACTGGAAACTTCAATCCAATTATACTCAGCAATTAGCCATTAGTCTTGGGTTATTTTCAGTGGACTGACAAACAGCACTACTACATTCCCCTACCCAGGGAAATCACTGTGCCGTCAAAATTCATGGCACAGGAAGAAAAACCAAAGCAAAACTCCAGAAATGCTCCCTCTGCTTTGGTATTTAAAGCTCCATAGGACAATTACCTGTAAAATAATGGGCCAAAGATGCACAGTCCAGTCGTGCCAGAACCTAACAGACACTTGACATTAAAATGATATTAAAATTAAATGTCTAGATATTAAAATGTCTACCATACTTGTTACACACATGGTTCATGCAAGAAAAGTAAGACAGATTTGTGTGATGGACCCAGGCTTCCAGAACACTGCCAGCAGCTACAGAAGGATCCCTAGACTGGAGAGGGGAGCACTCCAGATTTCACATAAAAGGAAGGAGCACTCCAGATTTCACATAGAAGGAGGGAACACATCCCAGATTTCACATAGGATGAGGGAACACATCTAGATTTTTACAGAAGGATGGAAAGGTTATTGTCTTACCCAGGACTGAAATTTAAAGTTTGTCAATAATCACTTAACATAGTCCCAGAGCTTCTCTTGCAGCTAGGATTACTCCACAGTGAGTATTTCTAGCCTTTGCTGAATCAAGAACACAGATTACAGTTTGTAGAAAAATTAAGCTGTCATTTTCCTCTCCCTCCCCCATAAAATCCTTAGTTTGTATCTCATAATGCTTTACTAAAATTTACTTTTTATAGATTATACAAAAGAGCTGGAATGATGGCTCAGTGATAAAGAGCCTTTTCTGCTCCTATAGAACACCCATCTTTGGCAGTTCATAACTGCCTATAACTCCAAGACCAGAGGACTGAATGCCTCTTTCCTCCATAAGCACACGCAGTCACATGCACATTCTACCTCCAAACACACATGTACAATTTAAAAAAAAAGAATAAGTCCTTAAAATACATAAAAATCATGATCATAAACTGACTAAAAATAATGTCAGCTGTCTTAGTTAGGGTTTTACTGCTGTGAACAGACACCATGACCAAGACAACTCTTCTAAGGACAACATTTAATTGGGGCTAGGTTACAGATTCAGAGGTTCAGTCTATTATTATCAAGGCAGGAACATGGTGACATCTAGGCAAGCACGGTGCAGGAGGAGCTGAGAATGCTACATCTTCATCTAAAGGCTGCTAGGAGAAGACTGGCTTCCAAGCAGCTAGGATGAGGGTCTTAAAGCCCACACCCACAGTGACACACCTACTCCAACAAGGCCACACCTACTCCAACAAGGCCACATCTACTCCAACAGGCCACACCTCCTAATAGTGGTATTCCTTGGGTCAAACCTATTCTAACTATCACACAAGTATACAGCAGTGTAAGAGAGAGAACAGTGAAACCATCAAACCAGACAACTTCATGAGTAGAAAACAAGATTTATGGGGCTCAAACTGTGAACGCTGTCCCTCAGCAGGGAGGTAAGGTGTATCAGAACAGCAAAAACTGGAGCAAAGTCTTGCCAGTTTCATGTGGTGCAGGTTGAGTCGGGAGTGTAAAGTTACAGCAGCCTATCGGGTTAAACCTGATGATGGGAGCAGAGCCAGCCTGGGATGCAGCCATGGGGCTGTGATCTGCTTGAGTAGCAGGAAACTAGATGCCCACCATGGGAGGTGTGGCTGTGGGCTTGGATAAGGGAAGTAATGGGTTATCCTGACCAATAGAACCCCACTTGTCAAGGTTACTGGGGAATGCTGACTCTAGGAAGCAATCCTTCTATTTGCTTGGGGAGAGTCCAGCCTGGGTTCAGCCCAAGTGTCATTTAGGACATTGTCAGAAGCACCACCATTTCTGTGGCCCTCTCTGGGCCTGACAATCAGAATGAAGGTTAACCCTGAACATGCATCCTTGCTGTAGCTCCTTCCCCGTGATTTCCACTGATCCTCAGGGATAACCTGTTCTGATTTTACCTGCTACCTTTGCATACTTTGTTCACTTGAACAGGAGAAAAAATGCCCTTGAACTTACTGTCTCACAGATGTATGAGTGGAAGTTTCAAGCAGGATGTTGTCTTGAACACTTTGGTATTACTCTGAAGTCACCATGGCCGAGGCAACATCAAGTGCATATCCTTCTCTCAGGCCTCCTCCCTAGCCACAGACTCACAGATCTTGTGGCCTCTGAGGTTCTTAGCTGGGATATCCCATGACATCTCAGACCTGATGGGGCTACATCACAGCCCTTCATTTACTCCAAGATTTCTAGGTCCCGACACAAGTTTCCCAGACCGTTGTCTCAGAGTCATCCTTTCTTTACATACTTCATACTGACAATCCAGCAGATGAACGCATTTCCAGTTTCACTGTATCATGTTTCTAAATGCATTCATTCAAAATACCAAAAATCCAACATTCTCATCAGCCCTGCAGTTACCAAGGTGGCCTGGAGTCTCTCTTATCTGGGCTGTGACTGAAATCTTCAGACTAGTGCCCCTCTTCCACTCTTGACTCCTTGAGATCTCTGCAGCACCCAGAATGATCCCTAAAAGACTGAAGTCAGAGAATGTTACCCTTCTGTTTACACTTCTGCAGCTTTTCGTCTCTCTGACTTTGACATAGTTGTTAAGGGGCTACCTGGTGCACACTCACAGCTCTCTGGAGATTTTTAACAACACACCAGAGGAATTCCTTTGCATGAGCTCTTCCATGGAATGCCCACTCCCAACCTCACCCCAATTTTTTATTTAATTCAGATATCCTCACAAATGTTTCTCCTGGCTTTCTGTTTGAAATTGTCTTTAAACTTCAGACAATCTGGTCACTGGCCCTGCTTTACTTTCCTTAAAAGAAATAACCAATTCTCCTGGAGTCTAAGCCCCTTTGTTTGTTTGCTGACTGTATACCTTAGGATGCGAGCTTCTAGGTTTTGTTTGCTTGTCAGCTGTGAGATCACCAACCAGTCCTGAAACAATGTCGGGCTCATGATAGATGATATATTGATTTTCCCAGCAACATTTACTGAGATGGTGTGATGGTAGCATGGTCAACTTGCCATAATCTAGAACCACCTAGATGACAAGAGTCTGTGCATGCCTGTGGAGGGTTATTAACAGAGGTGGGAAGTTTGATGTGGTGTGGGTAGATTGATTTGTATGGGCTGAGATCACGGTCTCATTCAAAAAAAGTTGGGGGGGGAGCTGTACACGGCTTTCATTGCTCTCTGCTTCCTGATTGTGGATGCAATGTGTTCAACTCCCTCAAGCTCCAGCTCCAGAGTTCCCTGCCACAGTGGGCGATCATAAAATCGTAAACCCAGATGAACCCTTTCCCCCTTGAGCCCCTTTTGTCAGGGAATTGTATCAAGCAACAGAAGTAGAAACAGCCATACAGTGGAGAGATAGTGCATCTTTTAAATTGAAGCATATTAGGTTTATAATTTATATCAGAATTAACATGGATATGAACTATAGTATAGATAAATATTTAACATATTAAATGGACATACCATCCAAACAAAAACTAACAAGTACAGTCTTGATTTCAGAAAGTAAAAAGACAATTACACATTGAAATAAAGCATGATAAATGTAAGACAGCACAGTAAGGGAATCTGTTAGATGCACAGAAATGCTTCTCAAGGAAAACCCACATGCATAAAATATTTTATTTTGAAAATATTATTTTGGAAGCTGATTCTACTATTATTGATCAACAAAATGTGTAGCATTTCCTAGAAAACTATATGATTCACTCCAAAGACAGCAGTGTCTGGAGGAGTGCTTTAAAAGAACAAACCGTCGAGGTTTAAGAAACAGACCAGAAATCGCTCCGGCTGCCCGTTGTCCCGTTGTCTGCAATTGGAGTGATTTGAAAAACTGTAATATTAGTATTTAGAGAGATTCAGCTTTAAGAGCATGGTTACATCAGCGAAGGAGCCACTTTTCTGTTGCTTAAAAAAAAAAAAA